GGATGGACGGGTGGATGGATAAGGGGTGGGTGGTATATGTATGAGTGGGTGTATGATTAGAGGGATGGGTGAATGAATAGAAGGGTGGATATGCGAGTGTGTGAATGGATGTTTGGATCTGTAGATGTCTGAATGGGTGCATGGATATGTAGGTAGATGGATGAATGGGTGCTTAGATGGAGGCGTGGGTGTATGGACTGAAGGGTAGATGGATAGGTGGGTATAAAGATGGGTGGCAGATGTACAAGTGGGTGGGTGGGTGGATATGTAGGAATAGGTAGATGTGTAAATGGGTGATAGATGTATGAATGACCATATGGATGGCCACTACTCTTCTGTCAGTTAGTCTAGCTATCGTGCCTACATCTTTCTGTGATGCTAGAAGCTATGCCAATCGTCTTTCAAATACCATCAGGGTCACTCGATGTGAGCAGGTTTCAGCAGAGCTTCCAGGCTAAAAGGAATAGGCTCCCCACTTCTGAGAAAATTAGCCACTGGCAATGTTGTGAATAGCAGTGGCAAGTTGTCAAATATAATGTCGGAAGACACGCCAACCCCTCAGGTTGGAAGATACTCAAAATACGACTGAGGGAGAGCTGCCTCCTCAAAATAGAGTTGATCTTAAAGACTTGGATGTTGTAAAGCTTTCAGGATCTTCATTTTCTGGTGAGTCAAAACTCAGAATGAGGAGGGGGTGAAAAAACAGCTGTGAAAAATCCATTAATAGTTAAAACATGGAAGCTATGAACCAATGAATCTAGGAAAATTTGAAGTCATCAATAATTAAATGGGATGTATAGGGCTCAGTATCCTAGACACTAATGAGCTGAAATTGACTGGTATTGGACATTTAGAGTCAGGTAATCCTATAATTTACTCTGCTTTGAGTGACAAATTCAAAATAAGTGTCAGTATAGCCATAGTCACAAAGAATATTTCATTATCTATCTTGAAGTACAATGGTATCTGTCAGGGGACAATATTTATTTGCCCACCAGGAAGTCCAGTTAACACAATTATTATTAAATATTCTCCCATTCCTTCATCACTAAGGCTACTAGTGAAGATACTGAAGAATGCTACCAGTTTCTTCAGCCTGAAATTGATAAAAATGCAACGAAGATGTCTTGG